AAATAGTAATAATACTAATAATACTAATCATACTACGACTAATGATACTAAGATTAATAATAATATTAATAATAATAACAATGGCAATAGTACTAATGATATTATTAATAACAATCCTAATACTACTACTACTACTAATAATAATAATAATAATCATACTCAGAATCGTAATCATAATATTAATAAGACTATTATTCATAATAATGACGATGATGATAGTAATAATGCTAAGAGTAATAATAATACTAATAGTAATAATAATGATAATGATAATGATAATGCTAATGAGATTGACAATAATAACACTAATACCAATACTAATGATGATGATGATGATGATGATGATGATGATGATGATAATAATAATATTTATAATAATAATAATACTAATAATAATAATAATAATAATAATAATAATAATAATAATATCAATAATAGTAATAATAACAATGATACGAAGCAGACTAATACGAATAATAGTAATAATAATCATATTAATACTGATAGTAGTAAGAAGACTAAGAATAATAATCATAATAATAATAATAATAATAATAATAAAAAATAATAATTAATAATAATAAGAAGAGGATGAGGAGGAGGAGGAGAGAGAGGACAGAGGAGGAGGAGGAGTAGGAGGAGAGGCGGAGAGGAGGAGGAGGAGGAGGAAAAGGAGGAGGAGGAGGAAAAGGAGGAGGAAAAGGAGGAGGAGGAGGAGGAGGAGGAGGAGGAGGAGGAGGAGGAGGAGGAGGGGACCGACGAACCACCGCAGAGGGGAGCGCCGCCGGGGGTGGCGGGAACGCCGCGCCACCTCCCACAGCAAACAGAACACGGCAGGCCAGACACCCTATTTGGCCAAAACCGTCATTGACAAAACTGGGGAGGTGGAGGATCGGCAAGCGGGTACATATAAACGGCGCGAGGAGACGCGCGAACGCGCGTGCCGACAAGGACACGACAGCAGCAGCAAAACCTCCCGCGGTTGCGACGACCGGAAGGAGAGGGAAAGGGGGGAGAGGGCGAGCAGGAGCAGAGGCAGGAGGGGAGCCTGGAGAGACGACGGCGGGGGACCCCACGACGCGGCCGAGCCCACGACCGAAGACGGCGGCGACCGAGCGAGCCCCGCAACCCAAGAGGAGGAGGAGGGGACCGACGAACCACCGCGGAGGAGAGCGCTGCTGGGGGTGGCGGGCACGCCGCACCACCACCGACAGAAAGCATAACGCCACAGCGCCGAAGGCTGGAAGTAACGGAAGCAAAGGTGGGTGGGGAGGAGGGGGAGGAATACGGGTATTGCGAGAGTCGGTTAGGTGCTGCGCACACCCGGCGCCCTTCCCATTATTGTGAGAGTCGATTACGTACCTCTTTCCATTCATCCAGCCTCCAACCCCGCATGTCCCTTCTCTCCCGACCTCATAGCACTGGAAGAATTGCTTCGGTGCTGCAACACCGCGCCGCTTTCCCCATCAAAAGGAATGTGGCAAGGACACGTGAAACGTGAGCTGGCGCCGCAATGGATGCTAGCCAGGAAGGGAGGTCAGTTCGAAGAAGAGAGACAAAAAGAGGCGTACAACGCTGGCCGCGATCGCCAGGCATGCACTCAAAGGAGGTTCAGCCCCCTCGCGGTGGGGACGACCTTGACGACGACCCACCGCGGAGGGGAGCGCTGTCGGGAGTGGCGGGGACGCCGCGCCATATCCGGCAGAAAACACACAGCGCCACAGGGTTAAAACCAGGTCGCGGGGACACGGATAGTGAAGCACCATCAGGACAGAGGGGAAGGGCAATGCACTTAAGTCGACAGGTCGGCTTGATCGGTGTATGACGGGGCAAAATTCAAAACGGCGACAGATCAATGGGTGTCCGTTGCATGAACGGCCGAAGCAGGTGGCTGCATCGCAATGCCCTCACCTTCGGGGAGGAAATCGCCCAGGGAGCTCGCGTCATGCCACCACAGCTCTCCACACCTTGCTCTGGCCCCCCAGCGTTTGGTAGAGGCTCCGACCTTCTTCTCGGAGGCGCCATCTGGGCCAGCCAGGTGTCCGCCCGAGTCGGTGTCATCGACTGATTTGCGCTGGCGAGTCGGGCCAGCCAGGATTGGCGGGGCGCACGTGCCAGCCAGTTGCCGCTTGTGTGCTGGTGGGGAGTGCAGGAAGTCAACCACGACCTGTGTAGGGACCATTTGTGGGCGAACTCGCCCCTTCCCTTTGGCTCTGTATTCCCAGGTGAAGTGGTCCCAGTGTTCACGAGTCCACGGGGAGTCAGCCCACGCCTCTTTGACCATCTGCCAGAGGACACCTTGCCCTTGCCGGGCGATGCGAGGTGTGTCCCTGGACGGTGTCTCCGCGGTGGGCGCGTGGGTCATTATTGGTGGGTGTCCAGCCGAGTCGGCGTCGTCGACTGTTTCAGGCGGGACAGTTGGGCCACCCGACACTGGCGGGACACACGTGCCAGCCAGTTGCCGCGTCTGCGCGGGCAGGGAGCACAGGAAGTCGATCACGACGTGTCTAAGGACCATTTTTGGGCGAGCTCGCCCCTTCTCTTGGGTTCTGTAATCCCGGGTGAAGTGATTCCAGTGTTCGCGTGCTCACGGGGACTCAGCCCGCACCTCCTTGACCATCCGCCAGAGGTCGCTTCTCACCAGCCGGTCCATGCGAGGTCTGTCCCCAGACGGTGTTTCCGCGGCGGGCGCGTGGGCCATGCTTGGTGGGGGATCGGCGGGAGGCGCGCGTCCATCGTGCGCCACTGCCGTTGCCGCCCGCAGCGGCGGCTGCCAGTCTGCTGTCCGCGGCGCAGTCGACGAGACGGCCGGCGCGCGAGGGCTCTTTGGGCCCCCGTTCGCGCGCCCGCGCCGCTCGCAGCTGTGCTGTCCGAGCGCGACGGGTGACCGTGTGCACCCGGGCCCCGTGGAAGCAGGCCACTGCCCGCAGCGGGGGGGGAAGAATCCCGCGAACCATTCCAGGAGGGTAGCCAGGTGGACGAGGCCCGGCTGCGCGGCCTGTCGGTGGCGCCCGCCTCCCGAGCTCGCGACTGCACCTGGCGGACAGGTGCCCATCTCTGCCTTTTGGTATCGCGCGCCGGCGAAGGCCTCCCGAAGCCTGGCACCTTCGAGCCAATATGGCTCTGGGGGAGGAGGGGGAGGCTGGAAGGGGGAGGACGAACAAAAAGGGGGCGGAGTAGAGTAGACGGGGGTATAATGGGATATTTGTTGTTGGTCGTGCTGGGGTGTCTTGGGCTTGTGCTCTTCAGGCTCTTCTAAGGCCGACTTGGGATTTGTAGGGATGTCTGGAGGCTCTGCTGGGTCTACAGAGGCTGTCTTGGGCCGAAGTGCTGTGGGCGCGAAAGCATCGCACGATTGATGAACGCGCCTCTTGGGGGCATCTCTTTGGGCCTGCAGCGCCGAACCTACTCGAAGGATCCAGGAGACAGGGCTAATGTGGGACCATGCTGGTGTCGCTTCGGATTGCATTGGATGCATACTCGGGCAGCTAATGGGTGCTATTGAAGCGTTTGGGGCCCTTGCGGTGAGGCTGTCAGGGGCCCGGAGGGGAAGCTCGGGCCCGTTCCGAAGCTCTTCTGGGGGCCATTTGAGAACTTGCAGGACGCGCTTGGCTCGTTGGGAATTTTTTTCCGCAACGTTTGGCAATGAAGTGCGACATAGCGATTGACAAATTCCATGTTCCGACATTGTGGGCCTTTCAGGGGTGGTGGGCCAGGTTGGGATCCCTCTCGGTCTGTCGGATACGGCCTGGGGGGGGCGGTTCCATGTGGAGCGTTGGGGGGCCCCCCAAACCCTGGTCGCCTTGCGGGACCAGTGCAAGTGTGCCTGAAGACCGCTCATCTCCCCTTTCTGTCCATCTTTCCCGCCATTCTTTCGGCTCAGGTACTGGACATTTTGAGCGCTCTCTATCCGACGGGCGCGAGGAGAAAAGAGTTTCATCTTTTCTCCTTATCGTCCGCTGCCTACGGACCATAACGGTAGGTTCGACTCATTGGTCGTTAACCTCCGTTCACAGCAACAGCATCTTGTGCCCATCTTGAGCCGTCATCGTGCCATTTTGGGCTGAGTGGCCCCTCCTCGGTTCTGCGAACGGCACATCCAGCCATCCTTTCGCAAGGAAGCTGTGCGTACCAGGGGCTTGCGGCAGGGTCGCACAGCTTCGACATGGTGGCCATGGCGGCGTGGGCGCTCAAGGCTGAACGCTAAAGTTCGTGTCGGGTACCAGGACCCAAAGAAAACGAGCCACGGCGCGCGTAGTCCATACCAGAATTGGTGGGGTCGACAGCCTCCGGGGGTCGCCGAGAGCGCATGCCATTCCAGGTTGGGCGGTTCACGCGTTGTCAAAAACCATAGCAGTCGTCGTCATTGCAATGACCTGTTGTGCCCACACACGTCCAACAACTGGACAACACATTCGGGCAATTCCGCAATTGTGCGACGCGAGCGCGGCCTTCGAGTGGCTTGGATGTAAGTCGTGTGTCTCTTCAGGAAGGATTCGGGCGTGGGGGGCAAACGTCAGTATTATTGACTACTTTGCAGTGCATGTTCTCGCAATGCTCTGTCCAGGCCGTCCCAGCTTCATCGTGTCGTTGTCCGCTGCCAACTGCTGCCATCGGGCCCGGGGCTGCGCTGCCAGCTCGGTTCGATGCACTTCGCATCGCTCGGGCAGTTTTTTGGACGCAACGCCGCGCAGGCAAAATAGGTATAGGAAGAAGGAGTTATCTGGTGATGATAATGAGCATGAGGAGTAGGAGGTGGAGGAGGGGATGATGATGATGACGATGATGGTGGTGGTGGTGACGGTGGTGGTTATGATGATGATGGTGATGATGATGAGGAGGAGGAGGACCGGAGAGCAAGAAGAGGGACATAAGGATGAGGGTAACGAGAAGCAGGAGCCGAGGAGGAGGAGGAGGTGATTGAGAAGGAAGAGGAGGTGGCAGAGGAGGAAGGGATGAGGAGGAGAAAGGAGGAGCGGAACGCGACGCGATTGGTACAGGCTGGTGCCAGCCGGGTTCCCAACCGCTTCGAGGCACCCTGTTTCCTTTCTACCCTGCTTCTTGCGATGTTGCCGGGTTTGATGTGAAAGCGTTTGAGACAAGGGCAAGAGGAGGGAGGATGATGATGATGATGAAAAGGAGGATGACCGGCAGAAACATGGGAGGAACAGGGGGCTTGGGGAGCAGGAGCAGCAGAAGGAAGTGCAGCAAGTCGGCAGTGTTCGGAGAGGGGGATATCAGAGCACTCGTTTGTCCTCCACCTTCCTCACCTCTTCTTGAGAGGCGCCACTGCGAGGGCGGAAGAGGCGCCCAGGAGTGACTGTCAGTGTGCGGGGCGGACCAGGAAGATGGGGATTCGCCGAGGAGGCGAGACAGGCATACATCATGAATGGGGTGGACGAGCAGGAGAAACCTCATATTTTATGTGCTTGTTTGTTTGTTTGTTTGTTTGTTTGTTTGTTTGTTTGTTTGTTGTTTTTGTTGTCAATCCTTTTGCTGTTTGTTTTTACGTGTGCCACTCCGTTTCTGTTTTTGTGCCCTCCACTTTGTGTGTTTGTAGTGTCTCCCTTTTTCATAGTTCTTTTTGGTTGTTATATTTAGGTGTTTGTTCGTGTGGTTCTTTTCGTTTTTGATGCATATATCTTTCGTTCGCGTGTCTTTTTTTTGGGGGGGGGGGGTAGGGTGGGGGATGGGGAACTTTTTTTGCTTTTGCTTGTGTGTGTGTGTGTGCGTGTTTGTGTGCGCAGCCGTGGCGCCTTGTACTGTCATCCTCCTCCCCGCGCCTCGGAGGTCACCAGAGCTCGGCGCCCGCCCGCCCTCTTGCTGGCCCTTCCCAGCTGCACGCCGCTCCCCCATGATGGCGTGGCTTCGCCTCGTTGTCTTGTGCCCTTCGCCTACACGGCGGTCGCTCTTGCCGTGCTCATCGCAACGCACTCGTGGCGGCCGGCGCTCCGCCCTTTTCCCTCTCCCATCGCGCCTCGCAGGGCACCAGATCTCGGCGCTTTGCCTAGCCGCTGGCCTCGCCAGCACCGCCTGCTCCCTCAGTGGTGTAGCCCACCGCGTCAACATGTGACAGGCATTCCTGTGTGCAGCCGTTTTCTGCCTGATCAACATCAGCCCTCTGGTATTCCTGTGGGTATGTTTTGATTGGCTGGTCTGGACGTTCCATAACTGCCGACTCGTTGTACCTGCTCCCCCGCACAGCTTGCCAGGCCACCGTCGGGCTGCCTTCCTCCCCCCAGCTGCTTCCCGGCGCCGCGGTGGCTCCCCCCCTGGCGCCTGCCCCGCCGCCTAGCGCCCCCCACTGATGCCCGATCTCCGGAGCAGTAACTTCTGCCCAGCCGCCGACGCAAAAAGTGTGTGTGTGTGAGAGTGTGTGAGTGTGTGTGTGTGTGTGTGCGTGTGTGCGTGCGTGTTTGAATGTAGGAGGAGGAGGAGGAGGAGGAGGAGGAGGAGGAGGAGGAGGAGGAGGAGGAGGAGGAGGAGGAGGAGGAGGTGGAGGAGGGCAGGAGGAGGAGGAGGAGGAGGAGGAGTGTGTGTGTGTGTGCGTGCAGGTAGGTCCGTATCCATTGTGGCTGAAGCCGACCTCTGGCCCGGGCGCTGGCCCTCAGCGCGGCGGCCCGCCCAGCAGCTCTCTTCTCTCGGCTGGCGGCGGGGCCGGTTCGCTCGCGCGGCTGCCGTTCCCGCCTTTGCTCGCCTCTCGCTGGTTTTAAGTCGGGCATGTCCTTCTACAGGAGGAAAATTCAAAAGTTGAAACATTTGGGTTTGGGGTATTTTCATTTTTCCTCCAATATCCGCCTCTAGGTGGACATGCCCGACCTAACGTTGGCCCGGGCACGCGCCGGCGTCGCGCGGGTGGCCCGCTGGCTCTGTGGGTGCTCGCGTGCTGGGTTGTCGCTGCTCAGTTCGCCGAGTGCGGGTGACCGAGGAGCGGCGGATCTTGGCCTCCTCCTCCTCCTCCTCCCTCTCCTCCCTCTCCTCCCTCTCCTCTGAGGAGCGGCGGATCTTGGCCCGCACACGAACAAGAGCGCAGGCTGTCAGCGGTGAGCCAAGAGGGAAATGATGAGGAAAATGCCTTCTCGGAAGGCGGCGGGACTTCTCAGAGGCCCTCTCAGAGGCCCTCGTCCCTTCTGAGAGTTTTTTATCTGTCTTCGGGGAAGGCTCAGAAGCTTCTCGGAAGGCCGGGGAACTTCCGAGCCCGCTGAGATAGCCCGCCCCTTCTCACATCCCCCCCTCGCTCGCAGCCAGTCAGTGGGCGTGGCTTCGCGGTTAGTTTTTTGTGTGAGTGTCGCGCTCCAAGACATGCGACGTCTTGATTTTTTCAGGACGGCGTCCCTGGAAATTCCGACCCGTTCCCTGGGACCGTTTTTTCGTCCTGAGTCGTTTTCCGACGCTCCCGAGGCTTGGCGAGGGCCCCCCGAGGCCGAAAACCAGCAAACAACTTCCCGCCTTGTTTCTTTTACGGCGCGATCATGTCTGGGCTCCCTCCTCCTTGCGAGGACTCGTCGTCTGCTGCGCCCTGTGGGAGGGCGAGGCTCGGGGACGGGTCCGGGGCGTGGGCTGCGGCCTTCGCGGCGGCAGGCAGGCCTGGCGTGCCCCTCTGGCCAACGTAGCGCTGGCGCCTCCTGGCCTTAAGTTTAAGTTCGGCACGTCCCTCTACAGGAGGAGCATTCGAAAATAGTCAAAAATAGTCAGGGGACGATGTTTCGACCATTTTTGATTATTTCTAAGTGGTCTTTGCTTTTTCTTCTTTCGTCCAAAATCCGCCTGTAGGGGGACAGGCCCGGCCTAACCTTAAAAGTCGGGCGTGTCATCTCTACAGGAGGAGCATTCAAACATTGGAAAAATTATCCCGGCAAAGCAACCTAACAGCGATGTGTAGGAGCATATCTGGAAGCATTCCCCTTAAGATTCAGATGAGAATCCAGTTGTAGAATTCTGCTGTTCTCGCAGTCGTAGTCGCATTCGCGATGACAGTCGCAGTGGCAACGGCAGTCGCAGTCACAGCCTCAGCCTCAGCCTGCCTCAGCCTTAGCCTGCCTCAGCCTCAGCCTCAGCCTGCTTCAGCCTCAGCCTCAGTCTGCCTTCAGCCTCGGCCTCAGCCTCAGCCTGCCTCAGCCTCAGCCTGCATCAGCCTCAGCCTCAGCCTCAGCCTGCCTCAGCATCAACCTGCCTCAGCCTCAGCCTCAGCCTGCCTCAGCCTCAGCCGCAGTCTGCTTCAGCCTCAGCCTCAGTCTGCCTTCAGCCTCGGCCTCAGCCTCAGCCTGCCTCAGCCTCAGCCTGCCTCAGCCTCAGCATCAGCCTGCCTCAGCATTCAAAATGTGGCGCGGGAATGGAGTTCTGGGAACTCGAAGAACACGATGTGGCCTACAGTTGGCTCCGGGCATTCAAAATCATGCCCAGGAATGGAGTTCTGGGAACTCGAAGACCACGAAGTGGCCTACAGTTGGCTCTGGGCATCCAAAATGTGGCCCGAGAATGGAGTTCTGGGAACTCGAAGACCACGAAGTGGCCTACAGTTGGCCCTGGGCATCCAACATGTGGCCCGGGAGTGGAGTTCTGGGAAGTCGAAGAGCACGAAGAGGCCTACAGTTGGCTCCGGGCATTCAAAATGTGGCCCGGGAATGGAGTTCTGGGGACTCGAAGACCACGAAGTGGTCTACAGTTGGCTCCGGGCATTCAAAATGTGGCCCGGGAATGGAATTCTGGGGACTCGAAGAGCACGAAGTGGCCTACAGTTGGCTCCGGGCATTCAGAATGTGGCCCGGGAATGGAATTCTGGGAGGTCGAAGAGCACGAAGTGTGTGACTGTTGGCTTAAAACGACTTCTGCGGCACCCTGTCCGGCACCCGCCCAGACCCCCCTGTGGAGTCATCTGCTGCTCTCTTTTGACCCCACTAGAAACCTATTATCCCGGCAAAGCAACCTAACAGCGATGTGTAGGAGCATATCTGGAAGCATTCCCCTTAAGATTCAAATGAGAATGTTGTAGAATTCTGCTGTTCTCGCAGTCGTAGTCGCATTCGCGATGACAGTCGCAGTGGCAACGGCAGTCACAGACACAGCCTCGGCCTCAGCCTGCCTCAGCCTCAGCCTCAGCCTCAGCCTGCCTCAGCCTCAGCCTGCCTCAGCCTCAGCCTCAGCCTGCTTCAGCCTCAGCCTCAGTCTGCCTTCAGCCTCGGCGTCAGCCTCAGGCTGCCTCAGCCTCAGCCTGCATCAGCCTAAGCCTCAGCCTCAGCCTGCCTCAGCATCAGCCTGCCTCAGCCTCAGCCTCAGCCTGCCTTAGCATTCAAAATGTGGCCCGGGAGTTGAGTTCTGGGAACTCGAAGAACACGAAGTGGCCTACAGTTGGCTCTGGGCATTCAAAATCATGCCCAGGAATGGAGTTCTGGGAACTCGAAGACCACGAAGTGGCCTACAGTTGGCTCCGGGCATCCAAAATCTGGCCCGGGAATGGAGTTTTGGGAACTCGAAGACCACGAAGTGGCCTACAGTTGGCTCCGGGCATCCAAAATGTGGCCCGGGAATGGAGTTCTGGGAACTCGAAGAGCACGAAGTGACCTACAATTGGCTCCGGGCATTCAAAATGTGGCCCGGGAATGGAGTTCTGGGGACTCGAAGACCACGAAGTGGCCTACAGTTGGCTCCGGGCATTCAAAATGTGGCCCCGGAATGGAGTTCTGGGAAGTCGAAGAGCACGAAGTGGCCTACAGTTGGCTCCGGGCATTTAGAATGTGGCCCGGGAATGGAGTTCTGGGAGGTCGAAGAGCACGAAGTGTGTGACTGTTGGCTTAAAACGACTTCTACGGCACCCTGTCCGGCACCCGCCCAGACCCCCCTGTGGAGTCATCTGCTGCTCTCTTTTGACCCCACTAGAAACCTATCAGAACAAGCTGTTAGGTAATTATCCCGGCAAAGCAACCTAACAGCGATGTGTAGAAGCATATCTGAAAGCATTCCCCTTAAGATTCAGATGAAAATCCAGTTGTAGAATTCTGCTGTGCTCGCAGTCGTAGTCGCATTCGCGATGACAGTCGCAGCGGCAACGGCAGTCGCAGTCACAGCCTCAGCCTCAGCCTGCCTCAGCCTCAGCCTCAGCCTGCCTCAGCCTCAGCCTGCCTCAGCCTCAGCCTCCGCCTGCTTCAGCCTCAGCCTCAGTCTGCCTTCAGCCTCGGCCTCGGCCTCGGCCTGCCTCAGCCTCAGCCTGCATCAGCCTCAGCCTCAGCCTGCCTCAGCATCAGCCTGCCTCAGCCTCAGCCTCAGCCTGCCTCAGCCTCAGCCTCAGCCTGCTTCAGCCTCAGCCTCAGGCTGCCTTCAGCCTCGTCCTCAGCTTCAGTCTGCCTTCAGCCTCAGCCTGCCTCAGCCTCAGCATCAGCCTGCCTCAGCATTCAAAGTGTGGCCCGGGAAGGGAGTTCTGGGAACTCGAAGAACACGAAGTGGCCTACAGTTGGCTCCGGGCATTCAAAATCATGCCCAGGAATGGAGTTCTGGGAACTCGAAGACCACGAAGTGGCCTACAGTTGGCTCCGGGCATCCAAAATGTGGCCCGGGAATGGAGTTCTGGGAACTCGAAGACCACGAAGTGGCCTACAGTTGGCTCCGGGCATCCAAAATGTGGCCCGGGAATGGAGTTCTGGGAAGTCGAAGAGCACGAAGTGGCCTACAGTTGGCTCCGGGCATTCAAAATGTGGCCCGGGAATGGAGTTCTGGGGACTCGAAGACCACGAAGTGGTCTACAGTTGGCTCCGGGCATTCAAAATGTGGCCCGGGAATGGAATTCTGGGGACTCGAAGAGCACGAAGTGGCCTACAGTTGGCTCCGGGCATTCAGAATGTGGCCCGGGAATGGAGTTCTGGGAGGTCGAAGAGCACGAAGTGTGTGACTGTTGGCTTAAAACGACTTCTGCGGCACCCTGTCCGGCACCCGCCCAGACCCCCCTGTGGAGTCATCTGCTGCTCTCTTTTGACCCCATTAGAAACCTATCAGAACAAGCTGTTAGGTAATCAGAACAAGCTGTTAGGTAAATAGTCTGGGCACGATTTCTCGACTATTTGTGACAATCCCCATGTAGGAGGACGTGAACGACCTAATCGTGGCCCGCTCTCGCCGCCTGCTTTGCGCGCGCCCATCTCGCCCTGGGTGGCGACTTGTTGGGGAGGTCTGCCCAGGCCCCCTCGGGTAATGAACAAGTCACGACGGAAGGTTCCTGCAGTTTTCGGTCTGTTTAGTTGTTGTTGAACATTATTAATTCTAAAGAATAATTATTGTTGGGCCCCCTGGTGCGCGCCCCCCCCGCCGCGCCTAGGCCGCAGCCACGTTTTCATCATTTTCGTGAGGAAGCCTCAGGTAATTCGATGTCATCCAGATCCGGTTGTTTTGTTGTAATCCGTTTTCCCTTGCAAAAAACACTATAAAATGACATTTCTTGTTCTAATATAATCAAATTTCAAGAATCCCTTGCAAAAAATAAGGTAAAGTGGACATTCGCGCGCGCAAGACGAAATCCTTCCAAAAGCTTAGTGTTCGGAGCGATTTTAACATTAAAACATCAAAAAACCAATGGTTTTTCAACAAAAAAATGTCAAAATCTCATCCCGCGCGCTCTTGCGGATTCGTAGGAAACCCAACACTTTTTAAACATTTCTGTCAAACGGGCTTTTGCGAGCAACTTTTTCGAACTTCTGCGACAACGGTTGCGCACCTGCCAGGGCCATCATCCCTGTCAAATAATACCATGCGGGACACATTCGTTTTTTCTTCGCGCGCGCACGCCGACATCTCCAAAAACCATTGGGTTTCTAAGAATTTTAGCACCGCGCATCATAAAATCACACGAATCGCACCGTAGGTCCTCGAAAAACACCTGCACGACTTTTCAAAATTTCCACCCGCGCGCGCTGTCCGAATCCTAAAAAAACAAATGGTTTTCCAACATTTATGTTACATGAGCTCGCGCGAGCTACGGTCGTCCGCACGCCAGTGTAGTAGCCACGGTCGTCCGCACGCCACGAAGTGAAGTGTCCCAACGTCATAGGGCGGGAAGCTGGGTTTGGGTGGTCGCGAAGAGTCGTTTGGATATTTGGTAGAGCTTGTAATGCCCCCCCACGAAGTGGGGGTATTGCCTGGTGTCGTATGAAAACCCTGGCACTGGGGAGAACACCACGCGTTCGGGTAAAATGATTGTTGTTGTTGTTGTTGTTGTTGTCGTTGTTTTCCCTCTCAGATTTTTCGTTCAGGATCCGCCTGTAGGGGGACATGCCTGACGTAAAGCTCGGCGTGGTCGCAATCAGGTGGGCGCGGTCGCCCTCGCCGCTCGACTGCCCGCGGGTTTGTCTTGGTGTTTTGGAGGCCGCTCCGCCGGGTGGGATAGCTCACCCGACCTGGAGTGCGCGTGGCCGCCTTGCCAAGGAAGAGCATCCTCCTTCCCTCTTTGCCTTGTCGCCTCTCCTCGCTTCTTCTCCTCCTTCCCCTGTCCAGTCAGGAAAAATCACGAGGAAGTTTTGTTGTTGTTGTTGTTGTTGCTGTTGTTGTTGCCTCTTGTAGGTTTGGAGGCCGCCCGGCGCGCCCGAGGGGCGCCCCGGAGCTACAGACCGTGGCGCCTCCCTCCTTCTCCTCGTCGCCTCTCCTCGCCCCTTCTTTTCCTCCCTCTGTGCTCCCGCGCACACACGGCGTGTATAGTCTTGTGTAGTCTGTGCTGCTCGGCTGTAGGGTATGTGGAAGTGGGGGGGCCGATTTGGGCTCCGCCCTTTCGGCCTCGCAGCCTTGGGAGGCACTTCTTCCTCCTTCCTCCTCCTCCTTCCTCCTCCTCCTCGTCGCCTCTCCACGCCTCTCCTCTTGCTTCTGTCCACTCCGTGCGCACGCGCGCATATTTCTTTGTTGGGCTGTACAGTTCTACCCTTCTCTCTCCAGGTCCAAGTCTTCCACGCACTTACACTTTGTAGCAGGAGGCGGTCATCTTCTTGTCTTTTCTGCTCTCGGTGATTGCGTGGCATCTCGCAATAGATTCCCCCATCTCTCGGTATTGTCCCCAATATTTTGATTACTGCATGGCTGACCAGGTTCGTGTTTTGAAGCGTCATTGCCGCCGGCGCGCACACGATGCTTGTGCTGGTGAATTTGGATCGGTAACCTCGGTGCTGATGGCGTTGAAGCTTTTTGCCATGTTGGAGAAGCCTTTGGGCTTGTTCGGCCGGGGATCAGGAGGCCCCAGGAGAGCCGCGAAGGAGCCGAGGAGAGCACCAAAGCAGGTCGCCGATTGTCCCAGAACGGCTTGAGGAGCTCTTCGAGGTTGGAGAGAAAACGAAGGAGAGGGAGGGAGGGAGAGAGAGAGAGAGAGGGATAGAGAGAGAAAGAGAGCGCCCCGTTCCTGGACCGTGGACAAGAGGAATCTTAGAGGCTCCACGGTGCGGATGCCGCACAGTCAGCCCGCATAGTAAGGATGGCAACTTTCCCAGGTTCCCCTTGCATCCTTCCCCTCCAGCCAATTCTTGGCCCCTCTCGCTGGCCGCGCCCCGAAGTGTCGACGCGGCTTTCCAAGGCCCCTGCATCCTTATCGTGCTTCCTTACTATTCGACGGGTTGACGGGACTCCCAGGGCTTCGAACTTGGGGAGGCGAACGGGCCTCAGAGGCCCTGGGCCGGAGGCGACAGAGTCGATGCACACGCGCAGTAGCTTGCAGCCCGGCCGCCGCAGGCCTGGGGGGTCCAGTACCTGCACGTGGAGCTCATGGACGAGCTG